GACGTCTAGGCCCAGCGCGTCGCTGACGACCCGTACGTCGCACATGTGGCTGCGGAAGGCTTCCAGGAAGAGGTGGCAGGTTTGCGGGTCGTGTCGAAGCGGGTCGAACGCGCCCCAGCTGCCGGGCACGGACTGCCGCTTGGCGAAAGCGCGCCAGGTGCCAGTGAACATTGGTCCCAGTGTGACTTGGAGTCGTCTTATCGCGTCGCCAGGTGTCTCCCCGGGGAGCTCCCACTGGATTTTGCTGATTCCTGTTATGTACAGCTATCGTCCCGTGCCAAGGCCCTTGGGCCCTGGCCATTGGCGCGGGTCGGGCCTTTAGTGCCGCCGTGTGTTCTGGCCGCAAGTCTCCGACGCACTGGCCTCGCAGTCCTGGCTGGAGGGCTCGCGATCTGCTCGCGACAGTTCCGGCTGCACGCCTGGCGGAGTTCTGCGGGGAAATGCAGGCCGCATGGTTGGCCGCCAGGCGGGGTCGGATCGCGTCCGGCGGCCAGGGCAGACTCAGCCTCGTGGCACTTGGGGAAGGGCCCCTTTCGCTGGCGTTCGCTTTCGGGCCTGTGCCCGCCGTCGCTCCCAGGTGCGTCCTCTTTGGACAGCGCAGGACTCCCTCTGGTCTCCGGGGCGCCGCTGGCTGTGCCAGGCGCGCGCACGCTCGGCGGCGCAGCTTCCATAGCCGGGGCGCGAGCTGCTTTGCCAGTGGCGCCCTGGACGCCCGGAGAGGGCGCCTGGGGTTCGCCGTCCATCACAAGCTCACTGTCAGAGGAAGGGGGGCGAATAGGCGCGAAGAGGTTTCTCCCGACGAGCCAGCGGATGGCTTCGCTGTCCAGCGTCTGGATGGCTGCTCCGTGGCCCCCCTGCCGGGCGCGCAGCGCCCCCAGAGGATTGCTGGCGGACTGATGATTCTGAGGGGGATATTCCGCGGCCCCCGCAGCCCCAGCGTCTCCGCCGTGACTTCCCACTCCTTTCCTTTGCCCTGCTGGTACTGCTGAAGGGGGGGCGTTAGTGCGAGCTGTGCACTGGTCACTGCGTGCTACCGCCTCTTGATTCCCAACTGGGACGTCATCGTCTGACAAATCAACCGCCTCTCGATCCCCCTCTGGGACGTCATCCTCTGTCAACGGAGCGGGGGGCGGCACGTTGCTGCTGCTGCTGCTATGCTTCGAGATGTCGCTGTGAGTATCGAGATCTCTCGGGCCAGCGCCAGGCGCCACGATCTGCGCCCAGGCAGCGGCAGGAGACCTCGGGGCAACGAGCCCGTGCGGGATGCCCGCGAACTCCAGGTCAGCCGAAGGCGACTTGGGCAGCCTGCCTGCGATGTCAGGCGCGATGTAGCCCGAGGTCGCCAGCGTGCTCACGCGGCCGTTCTTCAGCTCTGCCTGCCAATGGCGAGCGAGCTTCTCCGCGCAGCCATCCGCTGCGAAGCCAGCAAGGCCCCAACGGCCCGAGGGGTCCTGAACGCCCAGCTCGCTCTCGACATCGCAGGCACGCAGCGGGGATCCAGCGCACAGCGCCCCATCGCCCTGGGCGGAGCCAAGATCGAACACCTGCTCTTCTCGCACGCGCTGGCCAGGGTGCCCTGAGAGATGATGGTGGGTTCCAGCTTCTCTGCTGCCATCTCGCTCAGCAGCGCCATTGCCTGCTGCCACTGCCAACGCCTGCTCTTCTCGCACTCGCTGATCAGGGCGCTGCATGGGGATGATGCTGGGCCCCGGCTGCACGACAACCATCTCGTTCAGCAGCGCCTCTGTTTGCTGTCTCTGCCAACGTCTGTCCTTCTCGCACGCGCTGTTCAGGGCGCTGCAGGCGATGGCGTTGGGCTCCAGCTGCAATACCACCATCTCGCTCAGCAACGCCATTGCCTGCTGCCACTGCCCGCGCCCGCCCTTCTTGCACCAGCTGTTCTGGCTGCAGTAGGTGAACATGTCGGGCTCCAGTTGCACGACCGTCGTCTCGCTCAGCCGCGCCACAGTCTGCAACCACTGCCAACGACTGCTCCTCTCGCATGCGCTGTTCACAGCGACGTACGCGATGATGTTGGGCTCCAGCTTCACGGCCACAATCTCGCCCAGCAGCGCCACAACCTGCTAACACTGCTGACGCCTGCTCTTCTCGCACGCGCTCTTCACAGTGCCGTAGGCGATGATGTTGGGCTCCAGCTTCGCGGCCACAATCTCGCCCAGCAGCGCCGCAACCTGTTGCCACTGCTGCCGCCTGCTCTTCATGCACGCGCTCTTCACAGCGCCGTTGGCGATGATGGTGGGCCCCAGCTTCGCGGCCACAATCTCGCCCAGCAGCGGCACTGACTGCTGCCACTGCCGAAGCCTGCTCTTCTCGCATGCGCTGCTCACCGTACCAGAGTCGATGAACGTGGGCTTCGGCTTCACGACCAGGGCCTCCATTAGCAGCGCCACAACCTGTTGCCGCTGCCAACGTCTGCTCATCTCGCACGCGCTCTTCACAGCGTCGTAGGCGATGATGTTGGGCTCCAGCTTCGCGGCCCAAATCTCGCCCAGCAGCGCCACAACGAGCTGCCACTGCTGCCGGCTGCTCTTCTTGCAAGCGCTCTTCGCAATGTCGTTGGCGATGTTGGTGGGCTCCAGCTTCGCGGCCATCATCTCGCCCAGCAGCGGCACTGCCTGCTGCCACTGCCGCCGCCTGCTCTTCTCGCACGCGCTGTTCACCGTGCCGGAGTGAGTCGATGACAATGGGCTTCAGCTTCACGACCAGGGTCTCGATTAGCAGCGACACAACCTGTTGCCGCTGCCATCGCCTGCCCCTCTCGCACGCGCTGTTCACAGTGCCGTACGTGGTGATGTTGGGCTCCAGCTTCACGACCAGGATCTCGCCCACCAGCGCCACGGCCAGCTGTCACTGCCAAGGCCTGCCCTTCTCGCACCAGCTGTTCAGGATGACGTAGGTGATGATGTTGGGCGCCAGCTTTACGATCAGTGAAGCCGCCGGCGGCGGCCGCCGCCAGCGGCCCGCCCGAGGCGGCCGCGGCGGCCGCGGCGGGCGCCTCAGCGGCCGCGGCGGCCACTGCGGCGGCCGCCGCACCGCGGCCGCCGCGGCAGGCCCCAGCGCCGCAGCGCGCGCCACAGCGCCGGCGGCCGCGGCGGCCTCGCCGCGGCCAACCGCCGCAACGGCCGCGGCGGCCGCGGCGGCGGCGGCGGCCGCGATGGCGGCGCGCCGGCCGCGCCGAGGCTGGGCCGCGGCGGCAGCAGGCCGGCCGGGCCGGCCGCAGCGGCGTCGCAGCAGGCGGCGGCGCGCCGCTGCCGCCGCCGCCGCGCCGAGCGCGACACCATGGCCGGGCGAGCGGGGGCGCGGAGGGGGGCGACCCCCTCGCACGCCCCCGCGGGCGGGGAGGCCGAGGACCGAGGGGCGGAGGCCTGGCCAGCCGCTGAGGCCCGCTTGAGCCAGAGCGGCTTGAGCCAGAGGCTACGTAATGGTGGGGATATTTTTTTTTGATCTGCGGCTCCGAAGACGATTCCAGAGAGCGGGTCGTATCGAGCATGGGGCAGCACGCAAGATAATTGCCAGCGGGCCAAAAGCCGACGCCGGAGTGCACATGTGCCAGAGAGGGCGTAGCAAGCTTGGGGGGCCAAGCGAAATAATTGCCAGCGGGCCAAAATCCAACGCCGGGATGCACGTGCGAGGGGAAAACCCAATAGGCCCAACAAAAGCAGGACGGCGAGCAGATGCCAGCGGGCCAAAAGCCGACGCCGGAGAGAACATGCAGGGGAAAAATGAACCGCATACCGACGAGCCCGGCACCCGGTGAAAGCGAGGCTTAAGCCAGGAACCCTCACTCACAGAGCAACTAAAGCTCATGGTCGGCTGTACGCAACCAGTGGGTTGAAGCTCCACTGGGCACGGTCGTCAGGACCGAAGTGCGTCGAGGGAGGCGTGGGCCTTCCCGCCGACTCCATCTGGCCAAAGTGCGCCCAGGCGGGCAAAAGACCATGTCCGTGAACGGGGCCAAGTGGTGAAGCCGTCGTAGGCGCCTGCCAAATGGTGGGGATACGCGAAGCGTGAAGAATTCAAAGAAGAGTCAATTTGCCAGCGTCCTAGGTGACCTAACTGTAGGTCGGGCATGCCCTCCTACAGGCGGATTTTGAAGGAAACATGAAAATAGCCCAAATGCTCAAACATTGTCAGATTGCTATTTTTCAATATACTTATATATATACACACCTATGCTTTGACTAGTTCAGAATATTCCTCCTGTAGAGGGACATGCCCGACTTAAACCTTTCTGCGCGCATCGCTCCCCGCGGCGCGCGATTATCCTCGCGCCCCCCTGGCCCCGCGACGCCCCGCCTGTAAAGGGCAGCTCTCTGGTCGTCAAGACAGCCGACGCGCAGTCGCGGTGAGCTGCGCGCCCCCTGCAGGCGACGCGGGCCTCCGGCCAGCGGCGCTCGACGGCCACCGGCCAGGAAAGGAGGCAGAAAGCGGAGGAGGAAGCGGAGGAGGAGGAGGAGGAGGAGGAGGAGTGGGCGAGCTGAGGAGCTGTCTGGGCCCGAAGCATGTGGGCTCTCTGGGGGGCTCCGTTCGAGCTCGTTGGGGCCCGAGGGGCCCCCTTAGCGACGTCCTGCGACCCGCGCGGGTGGCGTGAGGTATAGAAGTAGGTGCCCTCCTGGGATCATGAGGCCCTCGTGGGGCACTGAAAGTCGGCTGACTGTCGAGCAAGTGGCAAAATTAGAAACGATCTGAGCAACGATAGCGTCACTGGCGAGGCCGCGTGCAGGTCGCGATCTCGACTGAGATACGCCGCAATGCAATGGAAAAGCGGCCATGCACCAGGTGAAATTCATGTGATCAACCTCGTTTATCCTTCGGCAAGCCGACACCGTGGAAGAAGAGAAATGCGGCACGAACGCTTGCACATGTGCAGACAGAATTCGCCACCGTGCCTTCACCACATGGTGGAGTGCCCCAGAACTCACCTCCTCCTCGTCCTCCTCCTCCTCCTCCTGCTCCTCCTCCTCCTCCTCCTCCTCCTCATCCACCTGGCTCGGCTCGAAAGATGGTCCCGTTCCCTGTCTATCCGCCAAGCGGGTGCGCGCTTGGAAGGGTGTGGTGCTCATCGCAGCGCGAGTGCTCCGCGGAGTAACCCCGAACAGCACAATCACCACGCGAGCGGGACGCGCCGAAGCGGTGCCACGCTAGCCGCAGAAGAAGCCGCAGAAGCGTGACGCAAAGAGTGCGAGGCCTCAAACGCAACGTTCTGCAACGCAACACAGGGAGTTTCTTGTCTCAACGTGGCGGCTGTATGTGCTCTACTGGCAGGTGGCCGCGAATCGCACAGCACTGAACGAACTCCCCAGTGAAGCAACTTAAATATGACTGGAGCCAGGACTGAGGATGGACATTGCCGCCGAGAATAGAGAGATAGAGAAAACAAAAAAAGAGAGAGAGAGAGAGAGAGAGACAGAAAATGTCGCTCAGAAGTACTGGATGCATGACAAGAAAAGAAACCCGAGGGACAGAGAGAAAGGATGGGTTTGGACCGCGCCCATGACGCTCCCAACCTTGGAATGCAAGAATGGAGAAGGGCGTTATTGATGACGAGTTCGCATCACATCCTTCACCAAGACACACGCATGACCAGACTGAGAATGATGACCAAAAAAATGGGAATGATGACCAGAATGACTGCGCATGTTACGGGACACATTCTCAGAGCTTGCAGGACACCCGTCCCTGACTGTGACTCTGCCCTCGCCGCAGACGACCGCACATGTTTCGGCTGGTTCTGGCTGAAGTCCCGGCACATGGCTGCGAGCGCCTCCATGATTTCTTCCTCGGTGTCCTCCTCGTGGGCCCGCAGCTCGATGGACACCTTCTCCTGCCACTTTGCGACAAGTTCCTGCAGCTGACCGTCCTGGGCAGCACCGGTCTTGAACTTCAGCATCACCACGTGGGGTCGCATGTGCCTCGGCCTGAAAGCTATCTCGCTGAGCCTCATCTGGAAATCCCATACCGTCTCCTGAATGCTAGTGTTGGTGGGGGTGACTAGCAGCACGGCGATGCAGCTCAAGCAATCTGCCGGATTTGTGGGGAGACTCAAATTGTCCCTGAAGCCCTGTATCGGTGTGAAACGCACTTCCGCCAGCTCCTGGGGTGGCCCGCAGCGGCTGTCACTGGACTTCATGGACATGATGCTATCGCGGCCCAATTTGGAATCTTCCCTCGCCTGCATGGGGATAAAAAGACAGAGCCCCGTGCTGTCTTTGCCTTCGCGCAGGGAGCCCTCGTCATCGCGCCTGCCCGCCCCGCCCTTCTGCGGCCGGTAGGCATCAGCGGTCTTTGAGCCCACCGCTCGGGCGCACCACTGCTCAGCATCACATCCGATGACGAACAGCTCGATGTGCCAAGTGATCGCGAACGGGGGCTCCAGGACGACCGACAGTTGCGATGCCATGGAGCGCATCGACAGCATAGACGAGCGACGGCTGTATCTCGCAGCCGGCAAGCTGCAGGACCTCCTCGAGGCCTCTGCGGCGCGGCCCTCCTCGAGCCCGATCGGTGCCGGCGCGCCCAGCACCGCTCCAGGCAGCGTGAGCACGAGCGCGTCCGACGCCCCAGCCTCCGGCTCGCCTCCGATGGCCATCGGCCGTGCCGGCGCCCAGGCCTCCCGAACCTCCGGCTCGCCTCCGCTGGCCGTCGGCGGTGCCCAGTGGTCCTCGCTCGTGCACCCCGCCAGGGGCAGCACCGCGGGCTGGATCGACAGCGGGGCTCGCGCGCACGAGGCTGTGCCCTCAGGGCGAGGAGGCTCTGCAGGGTGCTCCCTCGGTCCCGCCATGGCCTGACTGGGAGGCTCGCGGCGCTGCAGAGGTGGCCTCGAGGTCCAGGGGGCGAGAGCACCAGGAAGCCAAAAACAGCCCCGCCAGGACTGCCTCGTACAGGCCAGAATCGTGGCCTCTGGAGGCCCCAAATCTTGCTGGAGCCCAAATGGCTGCGGAAGCGCTTTCTAGTTTTCTGGGGCCTTCCTTTGCCGATCTTGGACTCAAACTGAAACGTGAAGAGCCTACCGCCGAAAGCCAGAAAACGCTGAGGCCAAAACTACGTGTAAGCGTTAGCTTGTTGATTTTACTCGGCCTCTCGGGTCCACCCTGGTGAGGCCCCGTGGCCATCTCGGGCCTGCAGAAAATGATCGACATTCCGACTCGCGTGTCCCTCCTGATGACATTCGGCCCATCCTGCCACCGTGCCTGGGTTGTGAGTCAGAGGCCTCTTGGATGCCTGTTGGGGTCTCTTGGGAAGCCTCTGCGGAAACTCGTGGAAAGGCAGCTTCAAAGCCACTAGGGCGAACCAGGCCTTTCTGAACAGTGGGCACCAGTGTCGGGATCCACGACAAACACGCTGTCCCAAAAACACAGCCTGCATCTGGGGGTGACCACTCGGGCTCCCTTCAGCCACACACTGGGTTCTCCAGGCCTCCGCCGAGGTTGCGCCCGTGTCCTCGCGGGCTGGCCGGGCTCTCCCAAGCTTCGCCTCGTCGGCGCCCGCACCCGCTCGTGGGCGCCTCGTGGGCGCCCCGTACGCTGAATGAGCTCCCGTGCGCCCCGGGCGCCTCGTGGGCGCCTCGTGGGCGCCCCGGGCGCCTCGTGGGCGCCCCGTGGGCGCCTCGTGGGCGCCTCGTGGGCGCCCCGGGCGCCTCGTGGGCGCCCCGCGGGCGCCCCGCGCGCTCCACGAGCGCCCGCGGCTTCGCCTCGCCGGCGCCCGTGCCCGCCCGCGGGCGCCCACGCCGCGCAGCGTGCACGGCACGGCGTGCGCCGCAGAGCCTGCACGGCACGACTCGCAGCGCCTCGGCTCCCACCACAGAGCTTCACAGCGCGCAGCTCACGCGGCACAGCTTGCCCCACCTGGCCTGCACCGTGAGGTGTTCACCGCACTGCTCATACCGCGCATCGTACACAGGATACATCACGCGATGCAGCTCACATCGCAGAGCTCACAGCATACTTTGCATCACACCTACACAGGATAGCTCGCCTATGGTCAACATGGCATAGCTGTCAACCACATCGGTACGACCCGGCAGCCTTTCTCAACCTGAACTACATCAAACCAGCACCGTGGTTAATCCCACCAGCCCATTCGGGCGTGAGTGGTTTAGCGAGTTTCCTCTTTCAACCCCAGTTCTTCCCCTTCTGGTAAAGGTTTATCCCTCCTCCCTACCCCCTCCCCCTTACGTTCGCATGGAGGGGGCGTTCCGCGAGGGGGTGGAGCGTCCAAGATGGCCTCGGCGAGGAAACCAAAATCGTTGTTTTAAGAAAAGGTGTGGGCCATGTTGGCAGCCTGGGCGGGGGCCTCATTACGGAGTCCCCCTCCTGTGATCGATCTCTCTAAGATGGCCCACAAATGGTCCCCAAGGCTCCCAAAGGGTGCCCCAAGATGGCCCCAAGAGCTGCCCAGGAGGCAATACGAGACCCCAGAGAGGCCCAAAAAATGCACCAAAGAGGCTCCCAAGATGCCCCCCAGAGGCACCCAAGACGCCTCAAGACGCCTCAGCGAGAAGGCCCGAATTACTAATGTTACTAAGGAGTTCGGCCTCCTGGGTGGGGGGGAGGCCTGACTGAGGAGCACCCCTCCTTTGATCGATCTCTTAAAAGACGGCCCCAAGATTCCCCCGAGGCTCCCAAGGGTGCCCCAAGAGGGCCCCACGAGGTGCACAGGAAGCCCCAAGAGGCCCCCAAGAGACCCCCAAGAGGCCTCCAAGAGGCGCCCAAGAGGCCACCAAGAGACCCCAAGAGGCCCCAAGAGGCCACCCAGCTAAACTCACTGAGTTTACAAAGCTGTTGGCCACATGTTAGCACTCTGGGGGGGGAACCCCAAGGCAGGAGCCCCCATCAGTTGATCGAACTCCCCCAAGATGGCCCAAAAGATGGCCCCTGGGGCTCCCAAGGCTGCCCAAAGACGGCCCCAAGGGGTGCCCAGGAAGCCCAAGAGGCCCCCAACAGGCCTCCAAGATGCCACCAAAAGGCTCCAAGAGGCTCCCCAGAAGCACCCAAGACGCCCCACGAGGCCCACGGGAATGCCAAGAGAACCCCCAGACGCCCCAAGAGGGCCCCAAGAAACTCTTGAAAGAATTCCGAAGAAACTCCAAGAGGCATCCAAGAGGCCTCTGGCCTTTTCTGC